AAAGCAGACCGCAAAGAGGCCCCGCTGCTCCCGGGGCATAACCCTTGTGCCTGGGCCTCTGTTGCCACTGAAGAGGGTTGGGGGGCAACACCTCCCTTCCCTGCTTCAGCCAACAGCTCAGCAGCCTTGCGGCACTTGAGGGGAAACCACACGGTACGCTCTCCTCTCTGTCCACCAAGGAGGCAGGCTCCTTTGCAAGGAAGAGAAGGGCCAGAGCTGGACCAGGAGGCGCAGCCAGGGAGACCAAGAATCCTTTTAAAAAATCTTTATGGCATACTTGAAAATGAAGAGCAAAAGCTGCCCCTCGGCCTGCGCTGCTGCAGGGGGCAGACAGCCTGGTTGGAGGGGCCCTGTGGGGAGGCCCCCTCTGCCCCCTCCCTGCTCGTGGCCGGAGTGCTGCGGGACTCTCTCCCTCCCTAGCAGTGCCCCACGTGTGGGCGACAGGCCCGTTGAGAGGCCAACGCCTTGCTGTGACCTTCAGATAATAGGCCCAGTTCCTGCCCAGGGGTGAGGGCATTTACTTATACCCTACTTTTCTCCCTGTCCCCCAAAGCAGTTGCCATTGGTTTCCTCTCCCATTTTACCCTCACAACAATCCTGTGAGGTAGGCTAGGCAGAGGCATCACCCAACAAGCTTCCACAGCAAAGCAGAGATTTGGACGGTTGGCACCCTTTTCATCTTGGCAAAGGCAAGAAACAGGCTTGGGGTGGGGATGGGGGTGGTCCTAAGCCCAAGGCCCATCTGTATTCTGAAGTGCAGCGGTCACACTGGCTGGAAAAAGCCCGGGCAGTCTCCCACCCTTCTGCTAAACCTGTCCTCTTGGCCTACGGATCAGGGGTGTCAAGCAGACGGCCTGGAACTGGCCCATCCAGGGCTCTTATTCAGCCCACAAGCAACCGGTGTGATGCAGGGAAGGGCGGGAGGCCGCTTGGTGGTGGGGGGTGAGCCAGGCACACACGGTGTGGGGGGGTCGAAGCTGTCAAGCAATAGGGCGGGATCGTGAGGCTGAGATTAAAAGAAGAGGGGGGGGGGGGGGGGGGGTGGCGGCAGCAAAGGCGGAGAAAGAGGCGGCATGATGATTTCTCCCTCCCACCCCTGGAGATGCATGAGGGATAAGAATTGGCTGTGGGGAGAGCCAGGTTCGTTTTGTGGCCCAGTCCTCAGAACACCTCTGCTCCGGGTGCCTGCAGAAATGGAGTCCTCATCAGCTGCAGGGAGTGGTCTCCAGGTGCTGCCCTTTGGAGCGCCAGCCCAACATGAGGCAAGCATCGTCGCCCTGCTGAGGCGGCCTGTTTCTTCCTGGCAGGAGAAGTCAGACACGGAGCCCTCCCCCCCCTTCTGTCTCGTAGAAAGAGTCAGAGGTGCTACGCCCAGAGCCAGTACACCCCGCGGGGCACCAGGCCAACCCTTCGGGGACCATTTCTTGGGGCTCCCGTGGGGCTGATGCACTCATCAGGAGGGAAGCTTGTGCACTCATCCCATCACCCACCCACCGCCTGTGGCCAAGCCGTAGCCCCTTTAGGCAAGAGGCTCATTTCCTGCCTGGCCAATGGCAGGCTGCAATGTGGGCATTTCTGCGTCAAGCTGCAGAGACCCATCCAGTGGGAACCAAGGTAGGAGGGGCTACTTTTGTGTCACCAGAGACCACGAGTAACCTTTACCAGGGAGTGCAGCACTGCGTCTCCCCTGGCAGCCCAGTTCCTTCAAGCTCATCTTGGGAGACCCAACCCCGTCCGGGTGCAGGCACACAAGTGGCGCTCTGAGATGGGGGGGGAGGGGAATCTGCCAAACCAAGAGGAGGCCAAGACGTAAAAGCCGGCGGCTGGGCGGCTGTGGATCCTGCCCTGCAAAGAGGAGGGGGGGGGTCCCTTCCCTCCAGGAACAGCCTCTTGGGCTATCTAGTCAGCAAGGGCAGAGGGGGCGACTGGGCTTCCGCCTGCTGTCAGGCCCCACGAGTGCCACTGGAGGCGGCCTCTGGAAGAAGTGTGTGTCTTAAAAACACTTAAGCGCGCGTCTTGCCTCTTGGCAGCTTACAACAACAATTGGAGCACCCTCCGCTACAACCAAAGGTAAAATAACAAGCCCCAAACTCCCCCCTCTCCCCCCCCCCAAGAGATGCCTGCCCAATCCAAGCCCCCTCAGAGTGCCTGGAACAACAGCACCGCCTGAAGACCTCCAAGGAGGTGCCGCCCTGAAGGAAAAGGCCCAGGCTCCGGCCGATACCAGACAGGCCACCCTAAGTGGTGGGACAGCCACAGCTGACACCCGGGAGGAGAGGGTCCCTCCAGGTACGTGGGTCCCAGGTCATGAAGGGCTTCACCGGGCACCCGGAATTGAACTCAGAAACTGACTGGCAGCCACTGAAGTGGTTTCAAAAGGGGCAACCTATATTCCCGGAGGCCAGTCCCTGACAGCAGCTGGGCTGCTGCGCTCCAGACGAGTCCCAGTTTCCGGGCTGTCCTGAAGGGCGGCAGCCACCTGTGCTGGGAAGCCACGCCCCCACCCCACCCCTGCTCTGTAACACCCATGATGCCAGCCGCTGGCAGACAACATGTCCAGGGAAGGGAGTTTGCTGCCGCCTTGGTGAATTCTCCGTCTACTTGTCGTCTGCCAGAGGGAGGTCCATGTCCTTCCCAACAGGAGCACTGGCCCCAGGGGTGGACGTGGCCCAGCCTCACGTCCAGAGCCAGCTTGGTGTAGTGGTTAAAGTGCAGGTGGACTCTAATCTGGGAAAACCGGGTTTGATTCCCCACTCCTCCTCCACTAGTATCTGCTGGATGACCTTGGGCAAGCCATGGTCCTGTCAGAGCTGTTCTTGAAAAAAAGAGCAGTTTCTGTCAAGAGCTCTCTCAGCCCCACCCACCTCACAGGGTGTCTGTCTGTTGTGGGGAGGGGAAGGGAAAGGAGTTTGTAAGCTGCTCTGAGACTCCTTTGGGTAGTGAAGGGCCATGGGGTATAAGTGCAGTCTCCTTCTCACACCATTCCTTCCGGAAAGCTACGGCAGCATACATGGGCCTCCCCTCCTCATTGTATCCCAGTGAGGCCAAGGGTGACGGGGAGAGTGGGCACTTGGACCTGTGTCTTCCCAGGCCTCATCTAACATCTGCCTGCCAGTGGGTGGAGAGGCGGTCCCGGCAGTGGCACAGGCGCACTCCCCAAGGAAGGAAAGGGCTGGTGGTTCCCCCATGCCCAGAAGACCGCCTGAGGAGCCCCCACCGCTGGCCGCCGGGCACGCCTACCTTCATTCCAAGCATCGGACAGATGTTTCTTAACAGAATCTGCTCCCCCAATCATGAGAACTTCGGCCCAGCGTTCCAGAAAGTCCCGCAGTTCGTTGGACACCAGAAGTACCTTCAGCTTATGGAACAGGTTCTCTCGGGGGTGCCTAGAAAAACCCAGGGGGGCTCCACTGATGTTAAGTGGTTTGGGGCACCAACCTCTAACACCCTGCTTCGTCCCATCTTCCACAAGCAAAATGTCTCTGAAGTCCAAATCGACTTCCTCCTTTGCAGCAAGAAGCTCAGCCACGGCACTCACCACTCCAGCAGCCTCTGCTCCAGCAGGCTGTACCCAGCTGGCAACAGGTAATCGCGGTAGTTCTGCAGCTGGTTGGCATGGCAACTGTCATGGACCCAGAGGTGAGAGACACACGGTATCCCTCCTGCGAGGCACAGGAAGTACTTCTGGGTGCGGCAGTGCTGGTCTGCAATCAGGAAACACTGGTGGGCTGCGCGGCACTGCAGAAGCGGAGAGAGAGCGTGAGCACGCGGCGTGCCAGGCGGGCTTCAGGCAAAGACTCACAAGCCCAGGACAGGGCTACAGCATCCCGCCACTGCGAGTCAGCAACCAGAGCGGCACATGTCACCGCCAGCACAAAGCGGTGAGCAGCTGCCAGATGCAGTCCCCAGGTCCTCTTTCCCACTGCAAACCAGGGCTGCCAGAGCGTCAGCGAGGAGTGGAGGACGAAGAGTGAGGCTGAGGGAGGGTCAGGCAGTTCCCAAAAAAGCCCTTACGAGATCCAGCGCCACCCCCCTGTCCCAGAGGCTTCTACACCCCCCCCCGGCCTGGCGCCTCAGGCACAAGTGGCAACCCTTTACGGCTCCTGTGCAACGGAAGCATCGGGAGCAGCAGCCGGCAACTATTCCTCTCATACTTCATGGTACATGCAGTTTTTCTTGCAAAAAATGGATTTAATAATAATTTTAAATTCCATAAACATGCCAACCAGTACAATTCTATATGCCTGTTCCGACTAAGAATGATGCATGTTGTGTTAAGGCAGCAAACGTAGTTTAAACAGGAAAAATATTGTCTACATTTCCCCCCAAATTTCAATCTTCTCCCCGCGGCTTCAACAAGTCTGAAAACTTTACATCACTTTGCACTTTTGCGGGTGAGTGCCATGCAGCACACCACCCGATACACACGTCACCTTCCTCCCAGGTCAGACGGCTCCACATCATCCACTCTGGCCCACCTCACCCTCCCGCCCCGCCCCCCAAGCAGAGCCTGGAGTTTCTGACCTGGCTTTCATTGAAATCCTCCAGAATGAAACCACCTCCAGACTGCAGCTGAAGCTCAATGTACTGCTTGTTGAAAGGAGCTGCCTCCGAGAATTCTGGAAGAGAGCCCAGAGTGAGCGGAAGTGCTGTGTCCTCACCAGGACGTCCCCGACACAGGACTGCCACTTTCTGTGCAGTGCCTCACCCCCCCACCCCCGCCTCCAAAAGAGGGGTACAAAACAATCCCAACCAGTAAGACCTCGTGCAGAAGGACAAACGCAGATCTCCACCCACGGGACTCCTGAGCCAGCAGCCAGCAGAGCAGGAGCCACCACCCCACCCCCCACCCCCCGGAGACTGGGCACGAAGGGCTCCACACCGTAGCGTAAGCTTGGAGCCTGCAGTGGCTTCCCTTCTCAGGTCACCCTGGCCGGTAGAGTGATTTGTTATTCATTTGCTTCATTCAGACACCCCCACGGGAGCCCAAAGTTGCTGACATTGCTGTGCGCGACTGGCCCAAGGTCACCCAGCAGACAGTTCCGTGGGAGGGTGGGGATTCGAACCTGGGACTCCCAGGTCCCAGTCCAGCACCCTAGCAACTACACCACCCCTGGGTTCCTGCTGGCCAAGAGGCTGCAGTGGCAAAAGAATCACAACTGACAGAGCTGACCCGTCGAGGTCTCCACTCCATACCGAGTCACCGCCTCTGCCTGCTGTCCCTCTAGGCACAGGAACTGCTGCAGGCGGTCCCTTTCATGCATATTGTGCGGTTCCTGGCTGCAGAAGCGAAGGGGAGGCGAGGCTCCCCAATCGGTCTCCCCTTCCCCAGCCAGTGTTCCCCTCTCTGGGTAGGCTGGAGGTGTGTGTGTGGGGGGGGGGGGGGCCGAAAAAAAACACAACTCAAATAGAAAGAAACCAACTCTAAATGCATTCTCAAAGCCCCCCCCCTCCCCCCGGCTGGTTTGGAAAAGGTATTTGTCTCTTTAAATCCCTTCGCCAAGCCAGCTGGCTGGTGTGGGGGGGGGCCCTGGGAGGACCCATTAAAGTTTCTTTCTTTCCCCCTCTCCCCCCCCCCCCCCCCATGTATTTGCTTTCTTTCTCTCTCTCATCCCTCAACATCTAAAGTTAAATGTATTCTCCAAGCCCCACCACACCAGACAGCTGGCTTGGCGAACACAAATTTAAACTAAAGTTGCTTTCATTCCACCTCTCCCTTCCTCCCCTCCCTCCTTCTATTTGCTTTCTTTTCACCTTTCTCTCTCTCTCTCTCCCCCTTCCTCCCTCCCTCCCCCTCATCTATTTGCTCTGTTTGCTTTTCTTCCTTCTTTCCACCTTTCTTTTTCATTCCTCCCCCTCCTTCCCTATCTATTTGCTTTCTTTGTTTGTTCTCTTTCTCCTTTCCTCCCTCCCCCATCTGCTTTCTTTCTTTCCTTCCTTCTTTCCACCTCTTTCATTCTTTCTACCCTTTTTCCTTCCCTCCTTCCTCCCCCTCCTTCCCCATCTATTTGCTTTCCTTGTTTTTTCTTTTTTTTCTCCCTCCCTCCCCCTCTATTTGCTTTCTCTGTTTCTTTCTGTCTCTCTTAGACAACTAAATATCATTAGCAAACAAATAAATATCATTATCAACATCTGTTTTTACCCCTATTGTTCTTATTTTGGCAGTCGCATTTAATGCTAATAAATAGCAAATTTGCATATTTTCCAATAAAGACGTGTAATATTTGTTCATATCTTGCGGCTCTTCCTTTACGCCAGTTTGGCCACCCCTGCTCTCGGACCTTCTCTGTGGGCTTTCTCCCGGACCCCTCACTGCAGCACCGTTCTTCTCTTCCTCTCCTCATTTTCTGCTGAATTCCTCCAGTTTTGCTGTTGCTGACCAGCTTCCTCGGCATGCTCCTCTCTGCTACCAACACATGGCCGCCTCCACACCCAGCGAGAGACACTCCTCCTGGCCTCAGGGGCGCCTGGCTTCCTCCACCCTGCGGTTCCTCTTTTCTCCGGGCATTGCAGCCTTCCTCTCAGCTCGCCCTCCCAGGCTTTGCTCCAAAACCTCTTTCCAGCCCCTCCTCCTCGCTGGGAATTTTAAACCCCACTTAAGTTTTCCTTCCCCTGCCAATGATGCTGCACCCCAAGAAACCACCCAAGAGCTCAAGCTACTGTTCTCTGCAAGCACAACGGACACACCGAGCCAGATCGGACCACAGGCCTGGCAGTCACACATGCACAGTGCCCCTGAGCGCAGGGCTCTCACCTTCTTCCTCCTCACTGCTCACGGCAGACTTTTGGTGGCTGGAGAGTTTATCACTGGGATTTGCCATTGTGAGGAGAAACGCGTACCCCAGAAAGAGGGTCTTGTTGTGGGGCAAAGGCCCCCATCGCGGATCAAGGTCCAAGAGATCTCCGGAGTCTTTACTGCTGGGCAGAGCCGTCACCTCCCCTGTGAAGAAAGAAAGTGCCCCATAACTGTAGTCATGCTCTGGGGGGGGGGGGGCGGAGATGAAGGGGAACACTTCTCCACTCCCTCAGATGGGCTACCCAAAGCTCACGAGGACGCCACAATAAATCCCTCGGACTGCAGACTGGACATCACTGTGACTCCCCAGCACCACTGGCAAAGGGCAGCGCCCAGCCAAGCCCAGCCCAGCCCCAGTGGAAGCCGTGCCCGAGGCCCACGCATGGTGCAAGAGAGGCGCCCGAGGCCCCAGAAGCGTACCTGGCCTGGTGGTGGCCGACCGCCGCCCTCGCTTGGCGGGGGACCTCCCCTCCTCCTCCTCCTCCTCCTCCTCAGAGGCCATCAGCTTCCTCTTGCCAGACAGCAGCCTGTGGGGGGCCTGGGGGCTCCCGGGGGGGCCCTTGCGCGTCGGTGTCGTGCTGCCGCCCGAGGAGCGGGCCGGGCCCAGGTTGTTGCGCCTCCTCCGCTTCCCCTCCACCAAGTTATCTAGGGCCACAAGGTCAGACAGAACAGCCGCCTCAGCCCGGAGCCACACGGTCTTTCCCGGGCCTGTCCCCTGGCCACGGACTCACAGCGCCAGGCCGGCAGCACAAGCCCTTGCAGGAGACTCCCTTCTGGGCAACACAGGGTCATCCCAGATGAGCCGAGGCCGGGCAGGCAGAGACAGCCAGCGAGAGCGGCAGCTGCCCTCTCCCTGCTCCTCACCGAGACTGATGTCGGCCGCCTTGGTCAGGGGCGTGCTGGGCTCGTAGGGGCCAAGTCCAAACTGCTCCCGGAGCCGGCCCGCTTGTTCCAAGGACAGAATGACGGCCGCCCGCTTGTACCACTTCCTCTGACCGTCTTTCTCCACGCAGTAGAGCAGCTGTCCGGCTTCCTTGCGGTGCCCCTTCACTATTCCTGCAGCAAAGGCGACAAAAGATCACCCCTGACCAGGGGGGGGCCCTCCGGCTGCTCCCTCTCCAGCCGCCCCTCCCACCCACCCCCCTCTACGAGACCCCCATTACCTGCACTGAAGTACTCATCCTCCGAGAGGGCGGTCACCTCCGTCTCCAGTGGGAGGGGGTCACACAACAAGATGTCTCTGCCCAGAACGTCGCATTCATAGCCGTCGTCAAAGAGCAGCTTGTACTTGGCACCTCCCACATCCTGTGTGATGGTCCCAGAATAGAAGTAGCCATTTGAAGACCACTTGGCCACCACCCGGAGGCCCACGAAGCTGTTTCCAGACGAGGAGAGCCCCGCGGAGTCAGAGGCGGCCAGCCCTTCCTGCAAGGGGATTTCCGGGGAATCGCTGCGGCGCAGAGAGGCATCAGCCGGCTCCGGCCCCTCCACGGGGCCACCTGGGATGTGACCACTGAGCTTCTCTTTCGGCAAGGCTGTTCTCGAGAGATCTTCCAGTGCTGGCAGACCACTCCTGCAGAGCCAAGGAGAACGATAATGCATTTATTACGCAAAACACACATGCACGTGCACACACCCAAGCTTACTTTCAAAATGTAACTGGTGGAACAAACGGGTTCTGGGGCTTTAAGGTTCCGTGTTCGGCTGTTTTGGCCCACAGAAGCGACTAGAAGCACAAGGGGGCACGCTTGTTTAGCGTGTCTGAAGGGCCACGGGGGCCTCTTGCTGTGGCCACATGGGCTAGTTAACGTGGGGCCATTCTGAGGACCAAGAGCGAAGAGTCCACCTCCTCCAGGTACCCACCAAATGTTCTTAAGTGAGTAAGCAAATGATGTTACTTCCTTACTTGCAGAGCCAAGGAGAAAAACCGCTCAGCGGCCTCCCCCGAAGAAGGCGGGCACAGCCCCAACGCTTCCCCGCCCACCCACTTCCATGGCCACCACCCCCTGGTAAGAGACCTCGCTCCCGATGACCGCGAGGCAGGCCGGCCACGTCTCCCTCGGCCACGGGGGGTCAGAGGCTCTCTCCCAACCGGCTGGTTGCCACGCCCTTCCTCCTCGCAGGCTGCCCCTTCGTCAGGCCGGGGGGGGCAACAGGGCAGGCCACCCCCTTTCTTCGGGCTGGGGAGAGAAAAGCCGCTGAGGGGAGCTTGCCAGCGCCACGGCTCGCCTCCCCGCCGACCTTCACAGGGTCTCCGTCCCATGTAACTCTGGACAAGAACCCAGCCATCATGAAGATCGAACGACAGAGGAAAGAAAGAGGCAGCTCCCGACACGGGCTGTCCCTGAAACCATCCCTGCACAACGGCACGCCACTGGGGCAGCCACCGCCAGGTTCCGTTCTCCATCTGAGAGGGCTCGACTGAACGGCCGGAAACACCCCGTGCTCCCGAGATTAGGAAGCCTGCCCTTCCTGCGCCACGCTGGGGCTTTGCGCCTCTGGTTGGTCTTGTGGGTTTCTGCGACCCGTCAGGCAGACTAGTTTGCAGCCGTTCATTGGATCCCGCAACCTTCGCCCTGCAGACAGTGTGTGTTGCATTGCGTGCTCAAGCTTCCCACTGGCTTTCTAACTCATCCATTTTTAACTGCCCCCCACAGAAGACTTTTAGCTTACGAAAAGCAGGAATCACATTTTTAAACAAAAACAAATTCTGAGGTTAATATAGTTGAGTTATATACACCTCTTCTGTGTTCCCTACATGACTCTGTCTCCCCTCACGCAAATTCGCCAAAACGTCATCAAGGAACACCGAATGATCTCTCCTGCAAAAGTCTTCTAGAAATGACCTGAAAAAGTAGGCCACACCCGGCCAGGGGGCTCTCTGCCACCTTCCCCCGCCCACCCAGCAGCTCCAGGCGCACCTCAGCTTCTTGGCCCCGGGCCAGGCCGTGCCGCCAGACTCCGCCCCTCTGCCTGCTCCTGCTCTGAGAAGCCCCACTTTGCGGCCAGAGTGCGCGGCGCTCGGCATCACTGACAAGCCACTGCTTCCCCCACTGGACGAGCGCTGGAGGCCGGAGGCTTTGGAGGAAAAGGAGCTGATGTCTCCGAGGTCTCCAGAGGTGAGCGAAGAGCCCCCCGCCCGGGAGGGAGAGGTGTCCACTTCGCACTCCTGGCACTCCACCGTGGGTTCTTCGGTCTCCTGGGAGGAAAGAAGGGTCGCGTTGAAGGAAGAGGTGTGAGCCACGACATAAGGGAGAGAAAAAGCACATCTACACACACGCGTGAGTCACGGCAACGTATTTGCGTCCAGATGGAACTATTTGGTGTACTTAATGCAAGCACAGCACAGAGAGCACCCTCTGCATTTTTCGCAATCAAGTAACCGGGCAACACAGTTTGGAAGCGCATTTTCCTTGGATGTGCGGCTGTAGTGGAAGCTGCCATCAGTTTTCCTTTTCCCAAACAACTGTGTTTCTCAAAAAATGATCATATACACAAAGCTTTGGCGGATCACATCAGTTTCATTTGGAAAGGCTGCTCTTCTGCTAATTTATGGGGAGGAAGGAGGCTCGGGGAAGAAGAAGAAACCAAAGGGAAGCATCAGCTATCTGCTACAGATCAACTTCCTTCTCAGAACAATAAATCCATTCAAAACTTGGAGGAGTGGCTGAGAATGGTGCACATAAGAACCCACCACATCAATGTGTCCTGTGACACCACCAGTCCTCCCCAGAAGCAGCAAGGATGGACAGGATTGGGTTCACACACTGACACTTGTTAAAAAAAACAACTATTTATGAAGCAGGAAGCATTTTTCATTAACATTTGGTAAACAGGCACACTCCAACTGGACTGTGTGTCAGGAACTGGGAAGAATATGCACATGACCCTTATTCTGTGATCCCTCCTTTGGTTATTGACCATTGCCCATGTTCAGTTCACCAGTGACTGGTCATCACCTACGAAGCCCTCCGGGGCCTTGGGCCCTCTTGCCTGCAGGACGGGCTCTCCAGCCGTGCCTCCCCCATGTGAGCTTTGCTCACCCCGGAAAGGCCTTCTGAAGGTATCACTACACAAACAGGTAAACTCAGAAACTGCCCAGTCCCCTGCCTCCTCTGTGGTGGCCCCCACCTTGTGGAACACAGCCCGCACGAGGAGGTCTGGAAGGCCCCTACACTGCTATCATTTTGCACCACAGAAATCTTCAGGAGGACACTTTTATAAGAGAGCAAATTGGGAGGGGGCATGAAACTAAGCGGGGGAGAGGGAATCCCATCCTTTTTGTCCTCTCCCTTGCTGGAGATAAAAAAATAGGGCCAAGGCCAATGGTGCAAAACGAGGGGGAAACACAGTTTATTACTTAGTTAAAATTCCCAAAACGTTCCCTGTGCATTTCGCCAACAGGCTTCATCAGGGGAATCTGCAATACATACTACACCACTGCATTTACATAAATAAGGGTATTGTTAAAATTATATAAATAAGATATTATATTAAAGGTCAAAATCCAGGTCATAAAATATCAATCACGTACAAAACGGCTAGGGCTTATTCTGCCCTTGAGGCTCCATGAGGAAAAGAAACCCCCTGTAAAGAAGAAGAGAGAGAAGATAAAGCTGTCCGGCACCCAACAGGTTTTGACTCAAAATCAGAAGAGTCCTTTTTCTGTGCCTAAGTGAATGTTACAAACCTGTTCGTCTTGCAGTAATTATACAAAAGGCATATAAGGTCAGTAGCAAGTTGTCACTGGGAGGATTTTACTATATGTCGGTGGCCGGCTGATGCCCAGAAGCCGAGATGCCCTTCTAAAGACAAATGTAACCCTTTAGGCTTCAGTGTCTGGAGTCTAATAATCCAATCGGCTTCTTTTTTCAGCAGCCGCCTTTCATTTAATTAATTTTTGCACAGCCCAAAAAATAAAATCAGAGGGACCGTGGTTATTTTCAATAAAGGGCTTAGAAGACATTATGTAGCACCTGAGTGCTCAACGGTGGCATCAGAGGCATATATAGAAAACATGCTTATCTACAAAATTATTCAACAGAAGTTGGTAACTTTGAAAACCTCTTCCTTAAACATTGGCCGCCTCATATTGAAAAACATGTACATAAGCAGACCTTGGATGTTATGATTTATGCTGCACGAACAGCGATTGCTACTTGGAAAAATCCAAATCCTCCCACATTGGGACTCTGGTATCAAAAGTTGTGGGACCAATTCCTTATGGACTCTGTTACCAACAAACTCAATAGACTAACCCAAAAACCCATAGAAAAACCTGTAATGGAAAAATGGGATCCTATATTGGAATTCTTAGCAACAGAAGATTTCTTACCCTCCTCTTGGCAGCAATTTAGGAATTGGATGTGAACCCTCTCCTGACATTGGCAGCAAAAATAAAACCGATTCGCTAGATGTACATATATTGGATATTTATCAAACAATGGAAGTTAGTTATCACCCACATAAAATTTTTATGATCTTTGTACTAATTCTTTGATTTCAGAGTGGAAAGTATATTCTTCTATTTTTGAAACAATTAATTGTACTTTTTCTGACTTTTGATGTTACCTACTTTGATATAAGCTTAAGATTGCCATTATTTTGAACTTTTATGTATCCTACTTTAAATAAATTATTATTTAAAAAAATAAATAAATAAAAAATAAAGGGCTTAGCCAATCTCAAGGGCAGAATAAGCCCTAACGGTTTTGTATGTGATTGATATTTTACAACCTGGCTTTTGACCTTCAATATATTATCTTACTTATTTGTATAATTGTAACTATACCATTATTTATGTACACTCAGTGGTGTAATTGTATTGTATATTATATATTACAGATTCCCCTGACAAAGCCTGTTGGCGAAATGCGTAGGGAATTTTGGGGGAATTTTATCTGAGTAAAAAAATATATTTTCACCTGATTTTGCACCATCAGCCTTGGCCTTATTTTTTATCTCCGACGACTGGTGTGGCCCTCTTATTTCCCCTTCTGTCCCTCCCTTGCTGGGCCACCCACTCGCCAGCCCACCTGGCTGCCTGCCAATGTTCCCGCTAAGCTGTGGAGTCTCATGAGCAAAAATGCTACTTTGTGAGCTGCTGGCATTAAAGTTGTGAGCCAGCCCATTTGGCTCCTGCATAAATTAGTTTGCTCTGGTGCCCTCCTTCCTGAGCTAAGACGAAAATGTGTGAGCCGGAGGCTAAAAAACTGTGAGCTGGCTCACACTAACGCAGCTGAGAGGGAACACTGCCAGTGCCTGCACTGATGCAGCCAGCAGCTGGGTGGCTCTCCCAGGGGGCAAGGGGACAGCTCCCTCCCCCGCCTCTGCTCAGAGGTGGCCAGGCAGCTTTCTGAAAAGGCCAGCTGCACAAGACGATTTTTCACCCAGGGACAATTCCCCGCCGTGAACGGAGAAGCAGGTCTGCAACGGGGTGTCTATGCCAGTCAATCCTCCATTCTTCCCTCCATACCCCTCACATCCGCCATCCCCCCCTTCCAGAAAGATCAGGGTAAACCAGATTCCTGAAACATCAGAGAAAACAGTGGGCAGCTGGGTGAGGAGAAAAGGTGGAGGGACGTTCCATGGCTGCTCTGAAAAGTGGCCAACATGTCACAAAACCTGGCCGATACGATGGGGGGGGAGGCCCCCTGCCTGAGGCCTCCTACCTCGACCACTTTGCGCTCAACTTCCACCCCATCCTTGTAGTAGACGTCTGTGATCACCCGTGTGACAACTGTACGCACTTCACGGATGGTTCGGATGTGGCGCCGCAAGACTTTTCCCGGAGGCAAGGGGGGCAAATCCAATTCTTCACTCTAGCAAGGAGAAAAAAGTGCCCAGATCAGTCAGACGTTTCTCCTTGGCCCACAATTCTACACAAGTATTAAAGCAATATATACTGAACAGTGGGTAAAAATAATAGTTAATGGAGATATGATCCAGAACATTAAAATACAAAAAGGTACAAGATAAGGATGTTCATTATCTCCATTGCTATTCATATTTACACTAGAAACATTAAATGATTTAGTCAGAGAGGCAATACAAAGATAAAAGGATTAAAGGTAAAATAAGAAGAATGTAAATTACAAGCCTTTGCAGATGATTTGGTCTTTATATTAGAAGACCCAATTACCTCTATACCTTGTCTTATAGAGACAATTCAAGAATATGGACAAGTGGCAGGATTAGAAATTAATTATAAAAAAACAAATATACTAACAAAAAATTGTACACAGGATCAAAAGGATCAAATACAAAGAAACTATGATGGAAATAGTTAAAAAGTGAAATATTTAGGTATAATAATATCTAATAGAAATAATACATTGATAGAAGACAATTATGCAAAGTTACTGAATGACATCAAAAAAGATTTGCAAAAATGGAAAGAATTAAATCTATCATTTATGGGGAAAATAGCAACGTTAAAAATGAATATTCTTCCGATTCCTCTTCCTAGCATAAAATATACCAACTCTAAGAAATTCAAAGACTTAGACAAAATATGCAAGCAATTTGTATGGCAAAATAGGACGGCACAAATAAAATGGAAAATACTACAAGAAAAAAAAGAAAGAGGAGGATTTGGAATAGCAAATTGGAACTTATATTACAAGGCTGTGGCAATGGGATGGATAAAAGAATGGTTGGTACTAGAAAAAAAAAGACTGCTAAACCTAGAAGGACGTGACTTGGTTATGGGATGGCACGCATATATTTGGTATGGAAAAGAAAAAATCCATACCAACTTCCAGCAACATACCATAAGAGGTGCTTTACTAAAGCTCTGGAAAGAAATAAAAGACCGTTTCTATGAAAAATTCCTAAATGGGTGTCACCGCTAGAGGTTTAATAAAACCAACACTACTTACAAAAGACAAAATAGAAAGCTACAAGACATTACTAGATAATAATAACGTATTGAAAATGCAAGACCTACAACTGCAAAATAGAAAATTAAACTGGTGGGAAAACACGCAGCTAAATACGAGATATGATAAAGATTAAAAAATAGGATTTCAAGACACGAAGACCGACCTAGATAAAATTTGGTTGTCCTCAAGTGACAAAATGATCCAGAAAAATTATCATTTTCTCCTCGAAGTTTACTTGCAAGATGAACTAGTGAAGACTTCAATGATTGCTTGGATGCAAGACCTAGGTCACAACATAGACCTAGAAGCTTGGTCCAAAATATGAAAATCTATAAAATTCATGAGAACAATACTGTATAAAGAAAATCTGTATAAAATGTTTTATAGGTGGCACTGGTCACCGGACAAAATAGCGAAATGTTATGTAAATGTGTCAAAAAATTGTTGGAAATGTAAGCACAATGTAGGAAACTTTAACCACATGTGGTAGAGGTGCAATATAACTCAAGAATATTGGCGTAAAGTACATAAAACGATATTAGAAATATTGGATACAGATATACCATACATACCAAAAGCTATTTTGTTAAATATGCTACCTGCTAATATTACAAAAAATGATCAATATGTAATAACATATATCTGCTCGTATTGCATTCGCAAAATATTGGAAATCAGAAAAAAATCCCATCAATGCAAGAAATAACATATAGATTGTTGGAGATAGCTGAAATGGATAAAATAACGATAATACTACAAGGAAAAGATGAAAAGATATATAGGGAATTATGGAATAGAATTTATATATGGTTGGAGAATAAATAATGTTGTAGACTCAAAATATTGTAAATAAGTTACTGTATGAGATACAGCTGTTTGTGATGATGTGAAAAATTATAAAAACTTAGGAAACAAAACCTTGGCCCGGCGGGACTCACATTGGGACTGAGGGGGAAAACACCCATGCTTCTCTAATCACTGCTCAACAGTGTCCCAGCGGTCCAGACTAAGGGAATCCAGGCCAAGGGGCCGTTCCCAGTGGGAAGCAGGTTCTTTGACCAAAACACAGGCCGAGGCTACAGACACCTCCCTCCTCCCCAGAACCCGCAGCCACCTCAGCTGTAAGCATGAACTATGCTTGGTTAGAGAAACAACCCTCCACTCCAGTACTGCAGACCTTGAGACAAAGACTCCGCCTACTGGGCGGGTCCTGAAACTAAGTCAGGCAAACTTACAGAACCCTCCAGGTGCCGCCTGCGAAGAACCTTCCCTTTGTTCTGCAGGAGAAACTTTCCTAACCAGGCAAGTCAGGATGCTGGCAAGGCATGGAGGAGGAGGAGGAGGGCTGTGTGGAGACGCTTCAAGGCGCAAAGGGAACCCTTCTCCAGCCCTAGAGAACTATCTACGTAGGTGCCTGTGTCCCAGAGGACCGCTACCAGGGATGTCCCGTGCAGGAATCACCTGTACTGATGATGAGAGGAAAGGGAAGGGACCCTCACCCAATGACAGATCCAGTATGCAGCCCTTCTGCGCATTCGGGCAGATGCCTCGATTCTGGACGGACTGGAGCTACTGCAAAACCTCTGTGCTGCCTGCCAACCGCAGTGAGACGCACCCACCAGGACACCACAGAGAAGGCCTTCTAGGTGAGAGCTGATAATCTGCTGCTGGGGGGAGGTTCCTCCAAAGAGGCTGATGACCAGACCTCAGTAACTGCAACTCATCAGGGTCTGCAACTAAACCTCCCGCCAGGCAGCCAGAGTCACAGCCGGGTGGGGTCTGAGTGGAGGCCATGGAAGCGGCCAGGTGGACGAGGTCCACACCTTGGCCCACAAGGCCAATGAGGAGCTCCCAGGATGACTGGTGTGCCTGGCTCGGTTTCTTCCAGGATTCCTGCTGGACGTAGGTGTTAATGCATCCAGAGCAGGCCTAGCAGCCAATCCAGTTCCGTCACAGTTGCCAACTGTCACCTACAAGGGAAAACGCAGCAGAGAACCTGAGGCCCTTGTGGCTTTGTAGGAGAGGTAAAGAAGTCTACAGATGGAAAGTCAACCCCCATTCTGGGATTAAGGGCTCATCCTGCTGGGGACGAGTCGGGGCAGCGGAGCCCGTCCTCTCTGGAGCAGAGAGTGCCGGTGGCATGAAGGGATGCGAGGTGCGCCATGTTTTGTCTGGGAGCAGCTGAAGAGGATCCTGGGCTTCCGCTTTGGGGGAGAAGCGACCAGGAGTTGCTGCTGCTGTTGATGGGACATGGGTCATTCTCCCGTCTGTCCCTGCCGGGATGCCTCTTCTCTGGACAGGCATGGGCAGAAGGCTCTGTTCCAGCCGGCAGATGATGCGGGAGGCCTTGAGAGCCACCTGCCACCCCTGCGCCGTGCCGCCTGACCAACGGGCTCCCCAGGCTGGCTGGCTGGCGTCTGTGGTGCAGAGATAAAGAGCTGGCTAATTGAGAGGAGCTCTCCCACCCACAGAAAGGGAAGCCTGGCCGGAGGGGTGTTTGTGGGCGCTCTCCTCCGGGAAGGGCAGGAGGAGCCATCCCAGAGGCTGCCAGTCCCTCCCAGGGGAGGGCATCTGTGGCCCCTGTGATGACGAGGCCTCGTTGACACGCCCGGGTCGTCTGGATCCACCACGGTTTCAGAGGGGGCCGCGTCTTCTTCACAGCTGCTAGCGGCTCAGCGGTGCCATCTGGCCGGGAGAAATGTATTCCGGCCGGATCCACATCATATAGGACCAGACCAGAGAACCACAGAGAAGGAACGGGGACGACGTCTGCTTGTCTGGACATGGCTTTTCCCGGGCGTGGAGAGGCACGAGTGGTGGGAAGGCCAAGAGAGACTCAGTGGCCAGGTCAGGGTCAGGGGCACCTGCGCCTTCCCAAGGGAACACAGGAGCAGAGCCTTGTGATTTGCCAGGGGGGCAGCCTGTTCTAGGACATGGGGAGCCCACCTATCTCTGGATTGCTCGGAAGACCCTGGGACTGAGCACACATCATGCGCCAGGTCTGATCTGAGGCCGAGACATTCCACCTTGGAACAGTGGATGCACCTGACAGATAGAGAGACGGGATAAGAGGGCTCAGCCCAGGACAGAAGTGCAATTCCTTCCTTTTAAGGTGCCAGGAGGGGGCCTCCCCCACCCCCGCCCCGGCAGCTGGTATGCACTGTGATGGACCTGTTGCCCGTCCTGACTAGTACGTGGCCATTCCGCAGGTCAGAGGCGAAGGGGTACCCCCCGCACCCCGTTGCAGACAGTTGATGCGGATGACGACGTGCTGAGCGCCCCCACTGCCCCTGTGCCACCCCACTCTCCCCACCCAGTCCAGCTGGCCTCCACGGTCAGGAGGAGGCAAGGTGGCAGGTAAAGGGTGGGTGGGCCGGCCGGCCGGCCACGTGAGACCACAGCCACCAGCAGGCGACGCACCGCCCCTGTCCAGGGGGGGGGAGACACTCTCTGGCCACGGAGTTCAGGCCTCTGCCTCTCTGCAGCCCTGCATGAGACTTGGCTGACTTCCACGGGCACAAGGTGTGGCTAGCCGGGATCAGACCGCCACTTCGGCGTTTGGCCGCCCCGTCGTTGATCAGATGTCTCTCAGATGCCAAGCAGGACACGCACTTCCTTGGAAAGGCTGAGAAAGATGTGTGGCTGCATCACACACTCCGTACGCTCTCTAACGGAAGGCTGAGTTCAGACTCCACTCCCCCGGTCTCACTTTCAGAGGCTCAGCCAGCTCGCTCCCACATTGAGCCATCTCTGAAGATGTTTCGCCCTCAAAAGACATCTCGGTCCTTTCCAGCCATACAGTTGCTTCCCTGAACAGGACAAGAGATCTCAGCGCACACGCACACACCCCTGCTGTGCAGGCGTTGTCAATGACACTGGCTACCAGTACAGGCTTCTCATGGAAACTTGGCACAACACCTCTAAAGCAAGCCTCGACTTCCTCGTGGTTGATGCCTTTTTTCCTGGTCCTACTGAGACCACGTGCCCTGGGGCAAACGATTCGTGGTACCCGGGCATCTCCTCTGAATTGAATCAACTGATCTTCCTCAGAGAGATCAGGGACTGCCACAACCAGGAGGGAATTTGTACCTGGCAGTGGCAACCAGTACTCCCTCTAAGCTGCGGAGTCTTGTGAGCAGAAATTCTACTTTCTGAGCTACTGGCATTAAAGTTGTGAGCAAGCAATTGGGCTCCTGCATAAATTAGTTTCCTTTGGAGCCATCCTTTCTGAGCTATGATAAAAATGTGTGAGCTGGAGGCTAAAAAACTGTGAGCTGCCTCACACTAACTCAACTTAGAGGGAGCACTGCCTGGCAACACTTAGCCATGATGAGTACCTGTACGGTGAAACTAAAGAAGGTGGGCAAGGAACCTAGACCGTGGGAGGAAGTCAATGGCTACTCTCTCTAGGCCAGCAAGAAGCACCGTGTGTATGCGGTCAATACGTGGGCACAAATCTCACTACGGTGAGAGAGACAGATCAACAAACATATCCAAGGCCAATCTTGGAATGTTCAGGCAAAGGTGATGACATGGAAGACCTTCACCCAAGACCCCAAAGACCTGCTGACAGTCTGACTAGACGATGCTCACCTTGATGGACTGATAACCTTGGGACAGTGGTCTGTAGAAACCAGATGGTCAGATATCCTGCTCAAACCAACCTCCTCTGCATATCTGGAGACCCCCAACCTGTTGCTGACTGAAGAACAGACACCACTCAAGCCAGGATAGCCTGGCAGTTCTAAAATCTTTGTTTAAACTGAGCTCCCGGCACACCCTGCTCTGGAGGTGGGTGCAGGATCAAAAGTGGAGAAAGCTCCCCCTGTCCTGGAGGCCTGACGACATTTCCGCTCCTGCTACCACAAGTGGCCAAGAGAAGCAACCCAGTCCTCAGCAGAAGGGGAACTGTGTACTACAACAGCTTCAGAAGGTGGGGCTTTTAGACGTATGGAAAACGCAATTATGCAAGAGGCACAATTATGAATGACTCAGTGACTTTATATTGTAATATCCTGAGATATCAGACTTCAGGACCACCCAGCTGAAGTACCTGGCAGTCGGCTCCAAGCGAACAAACAAAAAGGAGGAACCAGTACCTCTCCTTCACTTCTCAGACCCACCACCAGGCTCCCACCCGTGACGTTTAGAGGAGGAGGAGGAGGAGATACATCAGTCATCAAAGTGAGCCACGAGGGAGCCCCCTGTTCCCTCAGAGACACGACCTCTCCACTTACCAAACCCACCTTTGGCTTCAGAAGTTCCCATCTGGCCGTTCCCCAGCAGGGGTCAAAAGGGGTTTTTTAGCTATCCCCTGGGTCCGTCCCCCCCCCCCCCCCCCCCCCCCCCCCCCCGCCAGCGGCGGGGGGGGGCCCCCCCCCCCCCC